ATGTTAGGCATGGGTAGGAGTCTTTAGGGCAGACCTTATTCAAGTCCGTACAATCAGTACAGACTTTCCATTTCCCGTTTGGTTTTTTCACCATCACAAAGTTCGCAAGCCACGTTGTGTACTGTATTTCCCGAATGAACCCGGCATCCAGCAACTCCTTCACGTGTTCCTCCAGGACTTGTTCCTCCAGCAACTCCTGCATGTCTTCCTTTGTGAAATACAACAAAAGAGGATCTGGTTTGCTGAGGTCTTCCTTGAATATGGGACGATCCCGGATAGAAAGGACCTCTTTCAGATACTTTCGTCTAGCACTTACGGTGTCTTCGCTTCCTCCAAGGGCTCCACTGATTACATTACAGTCAAATTCTGCTTCCGGGAATTCATCATTGTGGGAATCATCTTTCTGGTTCCTTTCATCCTTGTTTTTCTTCTCGGAGACCGGGCTTTTGCTTCTCTTCCGGTTTCCAGATTTTCTTTTGTTATTTTTGGAACCCTGAGTTTTGATCACGTACTGGCGTAATCTCCCATCTCTAACAAATTTCTCCACAGCATCTCGGAGATCCCAGCATTGATTAGTAGTGTGACCCAGTCCATCGTGGAAAGCACAGTACTTGGATTTGTCCAAACCTCCTCTGTCGAAAATGGGTCGGGGTCTTTCTATTTTTTTCATCTCCGTCATTGCCACCTCTCTCCAGATTGAGAACGTGAGGCATTCAAAGGTGTGTGCTTCTCATATCTTCCAACCCGGTCTCGGCCATCTGGGATTCTGGTTCTATAGTCTTTCTTCTTATTACCAGCTCGCTCTTTCGGGATCGGGCTCCTCCTTCTCGGGCTAATTCCTTTACCTTCTTCAAATTGCGCATTTTCCATCTCCATTTGCTCGAGTTCGAGGTACTTCTTTGAACGGGTTCTGAACTCCTCAAATGTCCTCACTGGGTCCTTATAAACCGACTTGGCTAGCCTGAATGCTCCATCCAGACCAGCCACAATGAGATGTACGTGGACATTCTCTTATAACCCCGACACCTGCAATGCGGTATCCTTGAATCAGTTGAGGTATTTCTGGAGAGTTTCTCCGGGTTATTGATGTATCTTTCCAAGTGGGAACTCGGATTTGGGATGTTTCTTACTTGTCGCAAAATTTAAGAGGAACTTCTCCCCAAATTCCTCAAAGGACCCAATGGAGTTAGCATGTAAGGTAGAGAACCATGCCTGCGTAGCCCTAGTCAGAGTTATGGAAAATATCTGAGATATGAGGGGCTCATCTATCCCTCGGATGTACATGTTCGTATCAAAAGCATCGATATGGACCTGTAGGTCTTGACTTCCATCATATTTTGGCAATCGTGCCGAATCAAAATCTTCTGGGAAGGGAGCATTCAAAATCTCCCCGATGAAGGGGCTGTTATTATAATGCCCCATGCTATATTTTCTTCTGTAGGCTCCAGGTTCCACGCGTCCTCTAATGATCTGTGCATCCTGGTTAGGGTGGACTCTATCTCGGTGTCTCTGTCAATTTTCTTTTAATGAAGCATTTTGAGTCAGCGCCTGCGCAGCAGCGTTCTGGTCACCCAGGTCAGGTTCTCCATGTTCGGATTCACCGTGCTCACCGGATTAGGCCTTTCTTGGTGATCTGAGTTGCGATTTCCTTCCCAGCCATTGGCATCCTGGCCTTCGGTTCCTCTCGCCCTTGGTCCAGTCACTCCCACTAAGCGCTGTTCCAAGTCTCGCATTCTCCTGGTATTCTCTTCCTGTATTCTTCGGAAGTCTTGTTGCCGCTGGAGGTTATTACGATTCTCCATCTCTGCCATTCGCTGCAAAATTGCCGCAAATGCATTTTTAGCCAGGATCGACAGACTGGGCCACGTGAGCAGCCAGCTCCCCAGGATGTTGGTCGGGGTTGTTCAGAATTGGAGCCACAACTCGGTTGCGGGTTGCTGGAGTGGAGGCCGTATCTGATACGTCCTCACTGATATGGATGTGATCATAGTCCACCTCGTTTTGAGGTTGGTTTTGAGGCTGGTTAACCTCTTCCAGAACTGGATCTAGCGGTAGATTCTGGTTTTGGGGTGGCTGCTGGCTACTGCTCCTTGTGTTGACTACCATCCTTAGTCAGATTCGTGGGAATATCAAACTCCAAGTTCAGAAGCTCCCCACAGACGGCGCCAATGTTCTATCCTTGGGACAGAGATATCCAGCCCAATAGGCTAGTATGTTACTCTTGGATCTAGTGCCTTCTCCAAGGTATCTATAGAGGAGATACCCTTGAGTCAAGCAGATCACTGTGCACAGAATACTATAACGGCGTTAGCCAATGGGGTGTGTGTGTGCACAGTGACAGCATAACAGTAAGAGAGAGCGTAACGTACCTTTAGTGTTTACCTTGTATTTATAGAGGTTACCTGTGGGTAGTGCGGATGGACCTTTGGTGCCTCTGATAAAGGCTCAGGCCTGCTTGCTATGCTGTTGTATTAGGATTGGTATCCTTGATGGATATCTATCTGTGATTATTACTGATTCAGATCTTGGATTGTCCCTTATTAGGCCTATCACTTAATGGGCCCCTTATATGGGTCCATAACAAATCCAAACCGATCCAATATATTAATTTCTCTCTATCTACTTGGGTCTTTCCCCAATTATAGCCCAAAAATTTCTAAACCCAAGACTCATTAACCCATCAACTAAATCCAAGAAAAAATCTAGTCACATCTCATCAACAAAATTTCATCTGTGTAGAGCTTCATATCTTATTGTTAAAAAAAAAGCTATATTATTGTTTAATGATGTTTTTGTATTCACAAAAAAAATTACAAAGCCAATATATACAAAAGATGTTATTTGTACAATAATCATGAAACAAATTTTAGGATTTTCAAAAATCGAAAGCCGATCTTATCCAAACCTAAAAAAATTGGATTGGATTGGATCGGATCAGATTTGAAAAAAAATCCAAACCGAAGTGATTGGATAGGATGATTTTTGCTTCCAAAACCGATCCAATCCAGACTGTGAACACTCCTAATGCTTTTGCCAATAGGAAATTAATTGTCACAATAACTATAATTCTCACAATATTTTTAAATTAGACTTATTATTATTAAAAATACTTTTCTACGTTAAAAAAAAAGTGAAATTCTTATTTTTTAAAATAAAAAATAGGGAATGGTAAGGTGCATATGGGCCAGTAATTATATTTTTTTCTTAACTATATGTTTCGTGATTAGTTTTTTTTCAAGTTCAAATTTAATTGAATATACAATTATTATTTTGATAGTGATTCTTAATTACATGTTTACAGCTATGAGAATAAGTGCTACTTTTTTTTATACAAGTGGGGATAAACACATAACCTAATACAACATACCAAAAATTTTCACCACTAAACTACTCCTAGTGGCTTGAATAAGTGGTACTATTAAAATGTTAAATATTTTCTTAAATTTATTTTGAGTGAATTTGTTTGAACTCTTAACAGCTTTCTTGTTTTGTCTATCACATTACTCTAAATTTATATGATAAAAAAATTATTTTACAAGAAAAAAACTATATTGCAGAAAACGCAAATAGAGGAAAAAAATCTGATCATATTTCATTGATTGTACAATAACATGAAGCTGCCTATTATATAGGGGGGGAAACTAACTCCCGTGAATTATGCAAAGGAGGAAAAACAGAAAAGTATAAACTAGGTAAAGGAGAAATAACAACTAACAGAAAAGAATACAAAAGAATTATGTTGATAACTCCCATCTTGGAAAAAAGGAAATTGAATTGTGTAGAGTGCAGGGCTTTGGTGAATAAGTCTGCAAGTTGGTTGGAGGAAGCAATAGGAAATGTCTGCAATGTACCTTTTGAAATGTGCTCCCTGACCAGAGGAGAGTTCATTTCTATATGTTTTGTACGCTCATAGAATACAACATTGGCAGCAATGTGGAGAGCATCCTGGTTATCAGAGAGGAGGTGTGTAGGGGAAGAATGAGCAATGTGAAAGTCATGCAACAAAGAGAGAATCCAGACAATTTCACATGTTGCGTTGGCCATTGATATGTACTTGGCTTCTGCAGATGATCTGTAGACAGTAGACTATTTCTTGGACTTCCAAGAATAGGAGAATGACCAAGAAAGACACAAAATTTGGAGAATGAGCGGCGGGTATCAGGGCAACTAGCCCAATCAGAATACGAAAAAACATTAAGTTGAAGAGCAGAACTAGTGGAAAGGAGAATGCCTTGACCAACAGTATACTTTAGGTAAGCTAGAACACGGTGTGCAGCCTACAAATAAGGGACTCGTGGTGCAGATAAAAATTGACTGAGGCGGTAAATAGCAAAAGACAGATCCGGTCGAGTGAAAGATAAGTATATCAGTCTACCAGTGAGACGTCTATATGAGGTAGGATCCTATAGCAAGTCACCAGTATGCTAAGAAAGTTTGGCTCCGTAAGAGTTGATTTAGGCTTGCAACCTGAGATACCGGTGTCATGGAGAATATCAAGAACATATTTGTGCTGGGTAAGGAAAATGCCTTTGGAAGAGCAAGTCATCTCAACACCAAAAAATACTTAGGGGGCCAAGATCCTTCAACCGAAAATAGCTGTCAAGAGAAGAAACAAAATTCTAAATAGCATTAGAATCATTAGAGGAGACTATGACATCATCAACATAAACAAGAATAGCAAGCATGATGGAGCCATTAAATTTTAGAAACAGAGAATTATTAGTTGCAGACTGGGTAAATTGCATGGACAATAAGGTTGAACTGAGTTTCTGGAACCACTAACGAGAGGCTTGTTTGAGGCTATAAAGAGATTTTCGTAAGTGCCAGACAAGATTTAGAGGAAGAGGTTCCCTCTGATAGAGATATCCTGGAGGAAACTTCATATAAACCTCCTCACTAAGGTCACCATGGGGAAATGTGTTTGTTAACATCCAATTGATTAAGAAACCAGCCATGGATAGCAACAAGGGCAAGAAGAAGTCGAACAATAGTTATCTTAACTACTGGGAGAACGTTTCAAAATAGTCAATACCCCTTTTTTGGGTGAAACCTTGGGCAACAAGATGGGCCTTGTATCTCTCAAGAAGGCCATCAGCATTGCACTTGACACAGTAGACCCATTTACTACCAATTGGGGTTTTGTCTGGCAGTAAGGAAATAATGTCCCAAGTTCTATTATGTTCAAGGGCAAGAACTTCATTTTGCATAGCAGTACACCATTCAGGTAGTTGAGAAGCTTGGGAGTAGGTTGTGAGTTCATAATGGGATGATAAAGTATTGATAAAAGCCATATAAGTGGGAGACAGACGATGATAGGATAGGGAATTGGACATCGGATGGGTTGTGGTGGTGGAACAATCATAATCTAGAAGGTATTTTAAAGGATGCGATGTTCTGGTTGGTCTAGATGGAGACACATTAGTGGTGAGCTGGGTGGGAAGATTTATAATAGGAATGGAATTGAGAGGAGTTGAGGTAAGAGAAAAGGATATAAATGGGAAAACAGACTCAAGGAAAATTACATCCCTAGAGATGAATACACGATTGGATTGGAGGTCTAAAAGCTTATAACCTTTGTAACCGGGTGGGTAACCAAGGAAAACAGTAGGTAACGTGTAACACCTCGTGTGCACCTGGTATATTAATCATAATATGGTATTAAGCGCAGCTCAATAAATGCAGAAACTAAAATTTCAAATTATGAATATTATCATATTAACTAAGTGAATTTACTTATTCTTTTCCAAAAACTGTCAGTATGTAACCTGCAATAAAGAACTACACTGAATAACATGATTTCATAAATATAGCATCAAGTCATGGAACTACAACATGTAGACCAAACAAAATCCTGATACAACTTATACAACTCGAGTATGCAATAAGCACAAATTATTCAAATGTGGCATAGACAATCTCTATCCTCACCACATATAACAACATAATCCATCAAGTCTAGTCACAATAGAGTCTCCTAATGGCAAAATGAATAATCATAATATGCATGGCTTATAAAAATAATAAAATCTCTATGCCGACCTCTAGCCTCTATCCGTGTCCATCTCACGAATGTCATATCCTGAAAAAACGTGCCCTAGAAGGTGTGAGATTTCTAACAGAAATCTCAGTAAGACAAGAGGTCCTCAAGGACTCTTTCGCCCCAAGCTCACTTATAGGTATATAATAAGTATGACAAAATAGTGCTGACAGTATGTAAAGAAACGAAATTATAAATAGGTAAGTAGAATGGCTATACCAGGCCATTTGTAATAGTGTACAATGCAGTATATAAAAATGGGTGCACAATGCAGTATCATCATGGTAAAATAATCGGATCCTCATATAATCATCTATCTCAGTATATATCATGTGATTTATGCAAAGTGCGGTTCAACTGGCCAGAGAACAGGATAGGCATTACGTACGTCTGCAACCTACCAAACCATAAAGGTTGTTATCTTATGCCTTACACACCAAGGTCGTTGTCTGATCGTGTAAGTAATCAACATCACATCCATACATTACATCAACAAGCTTATCCATAAATATCAATGCATGGACATTTTCAGAAAAAGCATACCATGCACATCAAACCATCCTCCCATGGAGTTTGGTGGAACAAACAATGGATAAAACTGAGGAACGAAAGCTTACCTATATCGGTAAAGTCCTCCTACATAAACTCAGTATCAATAGGGTCACCCTCAGTCACACAATCCGGCAGGTACAATCTATTTTATGTCAAAAATATCATTAATAATCAGATTCTACTACTACATGACATTTAAACTATGTTTTCTTTTTCGTTTAGTAACTGCAGGCTTCTCCCAAAGCCCCCAAGCACAAACCATCTTTACCATTTTTAAAACTGAAATTGCAACACTTTACGAAAAATTCTAAGAATTTACTATGTTAAACTAAACATCACAGGCTTTGTAACGACATATTTTATGTCTTAATCAGAGTTGTATGACTCCGGTTATGTTTTTCGCAAGATAACTGTGACAAACGAAATTTCCCACAGCAAGGCAGCAACTTCAAACTCAAACCGCGATCAAACCACTTATCCAATGGATCTGAAATTTTACAGGGTTGTATTTCTATGTGTTAGATTCACATAGGTCTAAACCTCATTTAATTGGAGCTCTGTAGTTTGAGATATCGCGATTTTACTAAACTAGGTCGCTGTTGTCTCAAAAAGTATCCGATTACTGCGTTTTTCCAGAAAGTATTCGAATACTGCCCGAAAAGTATTCGAATATTTCTTCGACAAAATGCAGAAAACTGCGTTTTTAAGGTATAATTGACTTCCATTGATCCCCCAAACTTGTTTAGTCATTTAATTAACATACCAACACGTTTTACACACCAAAACAACTTTAAGACTCAACCTTTAACCTAAATCATGTTTTCTATCATGAAGAACAAAGGAAAGGTTATTCTTTTCACATGAACACAAGAGAGATGTTTGATATATACCTTGGGCTCACCAAAACAAAGAAAGAAGAGGACTTTAGAGTCTTAGACTCCACTCTCTACCACTGTCAAGTGATGTGCATGAATTTGGGTCTTCAAGGTTGATTCTTTCTTCACAAAGGTGACTTCTTGATGATGAAGAATGGTGTACAAGCAACCCAAACTTTGTAAACATAGATGACATCCCCTAAACTCTATTCAAACAGAAACGTAACCCTTCAAGAAATGGTTTTTCACCCACTCAAAGCTTGTTCACTAGCATCAATGGTGTTTTGGTGAAGAAAGCAAGAAGAAAAGTGATAACTTGGTGGTTTTCTTGAAGAGAGAACAATGGTGTTAGTGTAGAAAGCTTTGGGCAGCCATGAAAAAGAAGGGAGACTCTATGTGAGTGTTTAAAATCTGACCTAGGATTTAGTGCTCATTCCTATTTATAAGTACACCCACTTAAACTGTTCGTATTAGTTCTAATAGCTCCACTAATTATTTTTCTACCAAACTTTCTATTCTTAACCTAGACATTTTTCTAGGAATTATCATATTTTAATTTAATTTTTCAAGACACTTCACCGATATGCGTTTTATACAACGAAATAGCTTATATTAGTTCTGCCATCACTGCTTATTATTTTTACTTCAAACTTGATATCCTTAACTAGATATTTTTCTAGGAATATTCATATTTTTATTTTTATTTTTTGAATTACTTCGCTGATATCCATTTATAGCGCGAAATACCCGGTGTTTACACTTTTCTTCAGAAAAGTGACTTAATATTAATTATTATGCTCTTTCCATACTTATCCAAAGTTAATTATGGAATTATTTCCTAAACTCATAACTAAATTATTTAAATTCCTAATTTAGCGGTTCGGGTTCTTACACTAATTAATAAAGGGTGAAATAACATCGACATATTACCACAATTCATAATATTTGTTTCATGCTTAGCACTATCCATGGTGTTCGTATGCAATCTACATGTACAACAAATCAGCTTTTTAGACGTAATACTCTAGAGTCATTGAGACCACTCAACCCACATAACTAATTGTACATGCACCTGTCTCACATTTACCAAGTCGCACGTGGCTTTGCCACATAGTTCAAGTTATTATACACTTAATTTCCTTAAAGAAAATTCTACACTTCTCAAACAAACCTGACTAGGGAGTGTTTTTCACATACACGTAATAAGATATCATCTCTTACGTTTTTAAAATAAATCACCATCACAGATTATGTAATAACGTAAGGCATCTTACCTTTCAAACCAAACTTTGACGTATCACTCTTAGCATATTTTAATCATCCTACCACTAGGTGGTTGTGGAATATAAATTCATATTGAAAGGACTACAGTCAGGTCTCTCAATACATCATTATATCATGAGGCAAACTAAAATTGATTGATTTGTGCATCTTATGCACCAGGACCCCCGATGAGTCACACTCAAATTGGTACCCTCATGGGACTTCCAAGAGTCAATACTCTTAGGATCCAATCCCCAAGGGGAAGCCCATGCCATAGACTATTGGCCAAAGAACTAGTAGGCATATTAGCCTCCCGTGTACCTTGTACACAAAGATCACTCAATGAATCACACATCAATTGAGCGTCCAATGGAGCTCCTCAAAGGCAATCTCTTCGGATATATCCCCTCTAGGGATAGTCCACAATACGCTGATGGCCAATAACCCACTCAATCAACCTAGTTCCCCAGGTTATATTATCAAACACTTCAAGAACATTCAATATATAAAGCATAACTCAGACTATCCTTGGAGGGGATGTATCCGAAGAGGTTGCCTCTATGGAGTTTGATTGGACACTCAGTCGATGTGTGATTCATTGAGTAGTCCTTGTGTACGAGGTGCACGGGAGGCTGATATGCCTAATTATTCTTTGGCCAATAATCTATGTCAGGGGCTTTCCTTCTGGGATTGGATCCTAAGAGTGTTGATTCTTGGAAGTCCCATGAGGGCACCGATTTGAGTGTGACTCATCGGGGGTCCTGGTGCACAAGGTGCACAAATCAATCAATTTTAGTTTGCCTCATGATATAATGATGCATTGAGAGATTTGACTGTAGTCCTTTCAATATGAATTTATATTCCACAACCACCAAGTGGTGGGATGATTAAAATATGCTAAGAGTGATACGTCAAAGTTTGGTATGAAAGGTAAGATGCCTTACGCCATTACATAATCTGTGATGGTGCTTTATTTTAAAAAAGTAAGAGATTATATCTTATTACGTGTTTGTGAAAAACACTCTCTAGTCAAGTTTATTTGAGAAGTGTGGAATTCTCTTTAAGGAAATTAAGTGTATAATAACTTGAACTATGTGGCAAAGCCACGCGCGACCTGGTAAATGTGAGACATGTGCATGTACAATTAGTTATGTGGGTTGAGTAGTCTCAATGACTCTAGAGTATTACGTCTAAAAAGATGATTTGTTGTACATGTATGTGAACACCATGGATAGTATTAAGCATGAAATAAATATTAAGAACTGTGGTAATATATCAATGTTATTTCACCTTTTATTGACTTTCAATTTTGCAGACATCATGGAGATTGAGGTATGCTGTTATGTAGATTTATTTTATTTATTTTGTTGTTTGAATTGTTAATTAATTGTTAATTTTGCAGGTGTACGTGAACTAAGGTACACTACTATGTGAATTGATATCGAAATTAACGTGTATTGACTAAAATGAACATGGTTTTATACTATGAAAGAACTATGGCATTATTTTAAAGAGTATGACTTATGGAAATTGTAAGTCGAGACACGACTAGAGTCATGGAATA